ACTTATGTAGAAAACTTATTCAATTTGAAACAAACATTTGAATATACACTTGCATATACACTTTGGCCTTTCTATTTAACATGGCAAACATAGGCCTTTCTGGTTGGGCAACCAGGCAGGTGGCGCTGTCTAGCGCTGCGCAGCGACCAAGGGAGATTCCGGGGAATCCAAATAGTCTGTCTCCGTCCGACTTGCTGCTACGTAATTTTATGAATTTCGCTTGTTATTAAAAGTACACAAGTTCAGTCAATTATTGACGGAATTTATTGCATTATTTATAAAGTTTAGAGATTTTTTTCATTTGATATTATATTTATTGATTTATAGAGTCCCCTTGATGAATTCTTGTGTAAAAATGGCCGTTCTGAAAGGAAGTCCCCTTTCTCGTTAGATATTTCCGCTTGCAGTAGCCTGCATGGAGAGCGCTGGTAGGAGTACATGCGTGTGTGTGAGTTAGGATCTTTATTACTAAATATAGCAGGGTAGTGGAATTTTCGAATTAAATTATTTTATTTGTGTGAAACGTGTTGTGCAATGTGCTGGAGTCGAACTTAAGTGCCTAGTGAAAATCTAAGAGACCACGTGAGAGGGAGGTGTATATACCTGAACGGACACGACAATTATTATGTAAGTGATATTTCAATATAGACTTTCATTGAACTTATTTTTAATTAATTTGAATTGCCTACATTTTTATTATATATTCGTATTTAGAAGTTTGGAAACTAGATTTCCGTCATTTGTGAGAGGTGCAACCTCAAGTCTGTTGGAGCATTATCCACCACTGCTCCCAGTTAGCAATGATTGCTTGCATAGTTCAATTAAAAGAGCTCGTTAGCAATATCCAGTGGTTAACCACAAATGTATTATGCATGAGGTAAGGCGGCTTCTTCATCCGAACTGGAATTCCAAAGCGCCGGAAGACGGCCATTTGGGAGCCGGAACCCTCCGCCATTTTGCAATCCGCTATCGCCCACGCGGTGCACGCGCAGGGTGGAGTTGACCAGGTCGTGGCACGTGATCACGGGAACGCACTCGTCCAGCGTGGAGCGGCTGCTCTCCAAGTACTCGCAAATTCGGTTGATGTTGAAGTGAGCGCAGCCTTCATTGTAGCTTGTTTTCGTTGTACTCTTGACGTCCTGCTCCTTGGTCAGTGAAGAACATGGCTTCATTGATAACTTTTGATTTTACTTTGCTGACGGCGAAGTAATATGAAGCATAAATTATCACTTGCAAAGTCGTGATAATGACCTCAACTTTCGAGAAAGGCTGGGCTTCGAATCAATGCAAAATGTTCCCAAGCATCGTCGTTCGTTTACCTGTTTTCATCACTGTCCTTGATATCGAAAAGTAGATTGGCGGCAAAACGCCTGTCCGTCTGTGAACAACGCTAGCGGCTAAACTGTACAGCCGATTGTCTCCAAAATTGATATTCTCCGATCGATCTGGCTGATGTCGCGGCTCCTTCAAAATAAAATCGGTATTTTAGTTTTGGGGATATTTTACAGTTGGCTGAGCCATGTGCTTTTTTCCAATCCTTGAAAATAAGCCACATTTTTATCGTTTTTTCTTGATGCATTTTATAGAAATTATCTTTTAGTCTAGAAGGCTTCAT